AATGTAAAGAGCTTAATTTACTTTAGAATTAATCTGTAGTGATATCTGTGTTGTGCAAAGCAAAAGAATTTTTTTGATGTTTACAGCATCTCTCTAGAGCAGGGAAGGTGGGAAGGTGGGAAGGTGGGTCCCCTAAAACCATGTTTCTACTGGTTTGGGAGGCAAAGTCCTCTTAAGACTTAAAAACCCGTATATGTGTGTGTGTGTGTGTGTGTGTATGACACTATGTTGCAGAGGGGACTTCATCCGATTAGTGTCATTAAAAGTATCAATACAATTGTGGTTAATTGACAAGTAAACTGTCGTGCAGTACAATAGTATAAAAGATATTTACTCATATAATGTATAATAAGTATTTATCATACAAATTTATCATATATTGTTATTATTTATTATTAGATGTAAGGTTATTAGATATAATCTGTGATTCATCGTAGTCATCAAGAATCTGTGATGTCCAGCTGAGTTCTTGGAATGAGGGAGGAACAAAGCAGAGAGGTTTTGCTTCTGCTTTCACAATACTTCTCCATTTCTTTCCAGTAAATGCAGTGTTTGCCTGCAGTTATAGTCTGTTACTATTTGAAATCTATTTTCAAAAATGATTTCCAATGTATATCCACACATACATGTAAACAGAAACATCAGCTATTTCCCCAGAACTGGAGGGATCATACCGACTTGATGTTGTCTTTTCAATTTGATGAACACATACTGTTGGATATGCAGATGTAACAGTGTCGGAATGTTGAAGTGTTTCCTTGGCCCTTTTCCAAAGTCAAATCAATAAAAAAAAACACACACACAGACACGCACGCACACACACATGTAGGGTAAACATATCCTTATGGGGACTGCTCATTCATTTCAATGGGAAAAATGCTAACGCTAACTATGACAACCTTAACCCCTACCCTGCCCTAACCATAACCATAAGTAACCTAACAAAATACAAGAGTTTTTGCATTTTTAGTCTTTTCATAGCAGTCACCGATTTTTATAAAATAGCGTTTTCCCTTATGGGGACCAGGAAACCGGTCCCCATAAGGGAAAAAAAACGGATATTTATCACGTTATGGGGACATTGTGTCCCCATAAGGATAAGTAAACCCACTCGCGCGCGCGCGCACACACACACACACACACACATACACACACACACACACACACACAGAGCGATGTATAAAAATGATCACTGCTGTTTGCCACTCTGATGGAGAGGTGTGGTTGCTCCAGGCCCACATCTTCTAACCCAGCTTGTGCATAATAGGGCAAATTGTGTTTACTAATGATAATGATTGTAATAATCTGAATTTGGGCTGGAGAGAAAATTTGAATAATCACCTGAGTAACACAGGATAATCAACACTGCCATTTGAACTTGAGTTGAAATAAATGAATACAGCCAGGTTTATAATGTATATAATTTACACCATTGACAATGGGACAGGCCATGCCTGCTTCTATAAAAAGTGTGACACTTTAAAAATACTCAAATGCTTATAAAGATAAATAAGTCTCCTGTCTTTAATATTGCCTGAGAAAATCACAAAGTGAAGTAAAGAGATAAATGCAAGTGAAATGTGAATTAAATGTGAATGAAATATAAACATGGGACTGATGAAGAACAAAATGAAGAGTAAAATGAAGTGTTTGAATGGAGAGAGTAGAAGTGTCCAATCACAGCGCTCCAAGTTTTATATAAAGAGTAAATCTAACCCACTTCTTTGCTGTTACAGCTATTTATTCTCCCACCTCCTCCCCTCCACCACCTTCGGCTCCCTGTCCTGGTACGGGGGTTGGCTCCTTCGCCTCCTGCCTGGTCGCCCAGCCAGATCTGTCAGCTTCAGAGTCGAAGGAACCAACGACCAAGAGATGGGCTTCGCCAAATCACTGTTCACATACTCATTTAAATTTGTTCAACAAATAAACACTTGTCAACTATCTGTTGAGGTCTCCTTGGTTGAACTGGCATTGGAAAAGGTTCATGGTTAAGAAGGAGACACTTCAACATTCCGACAGTGTTAAAAAAAACACAAAATTGAGTTGGTATGATCCCTCCAGGTTCTGCAGATATAGTTATAACGCTGATGTTTCTGTTTAAAATGGTAAATGGACTTCATTTACTGTATATAGTGCTTTTCTACTCCTACAATGACTCAAAGCAATTCATAATACATGCCTCACATTCATCCATTTGTACACGAGTGGTGGAGGCTGCCATGCAAGGTGCCAATGTGCTCACCAGGAGCAATTTGGCGTTCAGTGTCTTGCTCAAGGACACTTTGTTGGGATCAAGAGAAACCAGGGCTTGAACCTGTAACCCTCTGGTTACTGAATGATAGCATTATCTCCTGTGCCACCATCTCCCCCTCATGTATAAGTGGATATACACTGGAAATCACTTTTGAATAATAACAGACTATAACTGCAGGCAAACACTGCATTTGCTTTACAAGT